AGCAGATGCAGGGGCAACAGATCCACCAAGTGCCATATGTCCACTGCCAGTCCCTAGTACCCGAGTGGCTTGTCAACGGGGGAACTGCTTAACACACCTGAGTCCGCCCCCCAACAACCCCAAAACTCCCTCAACTCCCTCACCCAAAGAGAAATTATTTATTCCTTTCTTACTCCCCCTATCATAATAGCATATACCAATGGCTAACAATGCTGGAGAGAAAAAAATCCCCCACAGGAGAAGCTGACAGGGTCACACAAAGAGCTGTGACAGTAATAGGCACCCTTAAAGAGAGACAAGGCAATCAATTATGAACCATTTGCAGAAATTGTGGGGCTGTCAAAGCCTTGGTTACAGCTGTGTTTCATCAAGCCAGGCTTCGTGCGATTTTCAATGGAAATTATTCCTTATTCTTAAGTCTAGAGTACTTGTTAGTAAAATACCCCATATGGCCCAGGTTCAACCAGAATCTAATCTGAAAAGAAGTTAATGACCCCTGAGAAAATCCAGGAAGTAGAGGCAGGTCCTCTCCCTGGAGGGCAATCGCCTCCTGCCTGCCTGAGCAGGTGCCTGCTAGAGGGCGGTGCACAGGGGTCCCTGGGAGAGTTGCTCCCAGCACAGCGAAGAAACACAGCATGCTGGCAGCTCCCAATTCAGTTCTAGGAAAACAGGGAGGATCCCTGGTTATATACAAGCACACGCATGCACACATACATATACTAGGGTGTTCCTAGCTCAGCTGGTAAAGTGCCTGCCAGCAAACATAACGATCTGAGTTCAGATCCTAGAGGTCACGTAAAAAAAAAAAAAAAAAAAAAAAAAAACAAGGCCAGGAACAGTAATCCCAGCACTCAGGGAGGCATAGGCAGGCAGATCTGTGTGAGTTTAAGGCCAGGCTGGTCTACAAGTGAGTCCAGGACAGCCAAGGCTATACAAAGAAACCCTGTTTTGGGGAAAAAAAAAAAACAAAACAAAACAAAAAAACAGGCAAGACCTTGGACATCTTTACTGGCCCCAGGAGTGGCAGTGGTCAGACAAACGAATCTCAGAGCTTGCTAGCCACTGAGTCTTGCCAATTGAGGTGGTTCAGTGAAGGTCTGTCTTAAAAGATGGAAAATGTTGGAGAACAATTGAACCCATCCCCAAAGTTGATCTCTGGCCGGTAAATACACAACACCACTGGCAACCCTAGTGTGGTGCAGCAGATCTAAAATCCCAATTACTCAGCAGCTGAGGCAGGAAGACCACAAATTCAAGTCAGCCTAGACAAGACTATCGCAAACTAAACGTTCAAAAAGGTCTGGGAATCTAACTCAGAGGCAGAGAGGGCCTACCATTAAGGAGGCCCTCCTGGATCCAATCCCTAGCACGTGGCGAAGGGAGTTAAGCTCCCTAAATTGACAATTCCCTCTCCTTTTCACTGTATGCAACATGATTATTACTTTTGGTGATCACTAATTCACTCTTTTCAAGAAACAAAGAAGCACATGGGCAGAGTGGCTGCTGGCTGTCACTCCGCTCCTCAGAGAACTCAAGTCCACTGTTAGGTGTAGTTACCTTCAGACCTACTAGCAGGTGAGTTTTGACTTACAAGAAATTTGGCAGAAGAAATTCCACCTGCTCACTCAGGCTGAATGCTCCTAAACCAAAATACTGGGAAATGCAGCTTAGCAGCATGACCAGAGAAGCAGTGTTCCAGCCTGGTCCCCAGTGCAAGGCTGAGGTTAACACACGTGCCCCACCAACACTGCACAAACTAACAAATGTCATAGCTTGCTAGCCACCAAGCCAGAAGGGTATGCCAAATATCTGCATTCCGGGAACACAGTATACATGCCACACAAATGAAGTTCATGCTGACAAGTGAGTCTCCTCCCCAACATGCCTCTTCAGGGAGACAAACCCAGACACCCATCCTGTATCTCTTCTGATATATCGTCTGCTCTGTGTTCTTTGGTGTGCATATGAGTGTATGAGAGAGAGAGAGAGAGAGAGAGAGTGAGCTTTCTCCCCTCACCATTTTTTTAAATAATAGAATGTAAAGCTCATGTCATCCAAATTTCCACTCAATCTTTAGCTTTCACTTTCCTACTCTTAACAGATAACCACTCATGCTTTTTGCTTAGCTATGACACACACTATCAGGGAATAGTTGGAAATGACCTCACTGTGCTAATTCTTTTAACTTTTCCTGTCTCTTTCATTGAATCTTTAAAGCAAATGGAGATAAAAATTAAATTTCTTATTAGAAATGCAACCAAATTATCACATATACACACATGCAAATCCATTGTTCTTAATAGCAGTGAGTGATCTTCCTCCAAGCACTGTGCTGTGCCTGTGCTCCAAGGCTTCAACACAGAGCCTGTTCCATGGCTGCTTCAGGGAATATGGCTTCACACACGTAAACCATAGAAGACTCCTCAGGAGGAGGCGACAATCATCTGCGCCACTCCACAGCTACAATACCGAGATTCCTAAAACAGCCCAACAGACACAGAATGGAGCTGTAAGGCCTAGAGCACTGATGGATTTCAGTTCAGAGAGAAAAAACCAAAACTGTGTTCTGACATGAAACCAGACACGCAGGGCCACGGAAGAATGGCACAAGTCGGGAAACACCGCAGCAGACGGATGGGAGCAGGGCTGGGGAGAAAAGGGGGAGAGACCGAGCACACAGCAGGCTCAGGCGGGCTCTCACCTAATGCACCCCTTCAGTGGATGCCACCAAGCCAGAAGGGTATGCCAAATGCTTCTGCCAAGGTCCCAGGCCCTCAGAGTTAGTCTAACCCAGCTGGCATGTAGTTCTGCAAGAACTGGCATTTAGAGACTGCCATCACCTATATATCCTCTACTCCTGTTTTACATTCAAGTGAAGAGAGAGAGAGAGAGAGAGAGAGAGAGAGAGAGAGAGAGAGAGAAATTGGAACTGCAATCTCGAATGCTAGACTGCACTGAAAGGGTAACTGATCATGAACAGCTTAAAAATGGAGGAACAGGAAGGAAGACAGAAAATGCCGCTGAGGGTGTGGGTAAACTGTGGCCCCAGCATGTGGCTGCTGAGTGGGCAGAAGGTTCAGGGCTGTGAATGATGATTGTACCTTCCCCCAAAAAGCAAGATGTGGAAGAGCCATGCTCTAGCAACTCTACTCCCAGGTACAGACCCAAAAGCCTGAAGGTACGGATTTGAACAGACGTGTGTATGCCATTTGGCTATTGCAGTATCACTCATATGAGAGCAATGTAATGTACCATTCCATAGATGGAAGGGTACACAGAAGGTGCTGCATGCTTGCAGCGAGATATTATTTGGCCTTGAAAGTGAAAATCTGCGTCTCGCTAAGTGAAGTAAGTCAAGAACAGAGAGTGAGTGAGTGAAATGCGTGTTCAGTTGTGTCTACTGTGTGTGTGTGTGTGTGTGTGTGTGTGTGTGTGTGTGTGTGTGTTTTCTTTTTAAAGAAGGTTATCATGTAGTCCAGACTGGAGTCTAACTCACAATACAGCTGAGGACAGCCTTGCCCTCCTGATCCTCCTATGTTCTCCCCCCTCCCCCCCCGCCCCCGGGTGCTGGGATTAAAGGCATGCAGGAAGAGGGGGGGTTACGTAATTTTGCTTTCATAGGCAGAACATAGAATTGGCAACTGAGAAGAGAGTATATATGAGGTCACAAAGGCGGAGGAGAAGGGAAGTGACTGCTTAACAGGAAGAGAGTTGGAGAAGTTCTGGAGGCGATGGGCAGCGGCAGGGTACCCCAAGTACGTACCAGAAGTGCACATAGGAGAATGGTGAAAAAGGCAAATTAGAACAGGTGTATAGATTATAAAGAGATTCTTTATTTTATGTTTGTGGGTGTCTTGCTTGTTTGTCTGTGTACCCTGAGAGTTCCTGGTACCTTCAGATGGTTCAAAGAGGGTGCTGGATCCCCTGGAACTGAAATTACAGATGGTAACTGCCATGAGGGTGATGGGAATTGAACCTAGGTCTAGAAGAACAGTGAATGCTCTTAACTGCTTGGACAACTCTCCAGGCCCTTGTTTTATATATATTTTACTATAATTAAATGACAACATTGCAAAAAATAATAATTTAGCTTTGGTTAAAAAAAAAGTTAGGGATAAGCTTCAGTTCATAACTGAACATGACTTTCCCGATACCCAAGCTTAGAACGTCCATCTCAGGATTTCTAAGCAGACATCCCGAGGTAGGGATGGCTCTCTCTCTCTCTCCCTTGCTCTTTGATGACATACCAGAAGTCAGGTTCAAAGGAAATGGTCCCTATCAGTTCTCACTTCAACTGAATAAACAGGGCTAGGGGATGGTTCAGTACATAAAGTGCTTGTCATGCAATCAAGAGGAACTCAGTTCAATCCCCAGACCCCACAGAAAGCCAAGTGGGGCAATGCATGTCTGTAACCCCAACATTGCAGCAAGGAACACAGGAGTGCCTCTGGGGCTCTCTGTCCAGCCAGCCTTCCTGGACTCTAACAAGTTCAGTGAGATCCTGTCTCAAACAAAGTAAAACAAACAACAACAACAACAAAAAGGTGGAGAGTGATAGAGAAAGACACACAACACCAACCTCTGGCCTCCACACACGTAGGAACATTCATGGGCAAATGTACTCAAAAATGGGCATACTCCCACCCCCAAACACACAATTTTTTTAAAAGGAGAAACAAACAGATGTGGAGATGCACATCTTTATGGAGATGGAAGCAAGAGGGTTATTATGAGTTTAAGGGCTTCCTGGGCTACATAATGAGTTCCAGACTAACTTAAAGAGTGAGATTCTATCTCAAAACAAAAACACACACACAAATCCCCCCAAATCATATACATATCCCCCAAAACAACAAATCAGAAACCACATGTGCATACTCACAGCAGCTAGTGGACTTCAGAATAGAGGAAAATCCCATCTTTTATATCCCCAACCTCAGGCACCAGTGAGAACCGGTGTTCACTTAGCTCTTGTCTTGTGATCTGGGGTGAAGTCTTACCCGGAATGTCTGTTCCATCTTCTCCCTGTGGGACACCTGATCTAGAGTGCCATCTGTCTGGCTCCTTTTCAGGCCAGTTGTGATGTCAGGAACATTGCTGAAATCTGCAGGAAAAAGCAAAAAATGACAAAAGACATGTGGGTATGGTCACTCCCAGTGAGTAGTGATGATAAATAGGAAAGGAAACAGCCAACAGCGTAGAGTAGCTGTCCTTAAGGACACCAGTGTTCCGACATGCACCCAGCTGGTGCTCGCAGATGCAATCTGATCTGGACCCTTTTGGACCATAACAGCTGCATTTCCAGCACTGAGTGAAGAGACCAACATAATAATGGCTTTCCCTGCTTTGTCACATTTCCCATTGTGGTGCAAACTGTCTCACTAGGCACTAATCTCAAATAAAAGCATCTGGACCAGGAATCTAACAGCACTGACCTTTGTTGGTAGTTCCCTAGTTTTGGCCAAGTACAGAATTGCCAGGGATGTCTTGGAAAGCCAATGATGTAGTGTCACAGACACCGGAAAGCTATACTTTGCTCACTTGTGTGTGTGAGTTCATTTCTGGCATCAACCACAGCTTCATCCTGAGAGCAAACTCTTGTCAACTTCTTTGTGCTGGTGGTGAGTCTTGAAGCCCACACTTACAAATACACACCAGATTCAACAGTCCTCTTCACTCGATTTCAAGTTAACAAATCAAAAGATGAAAGACCCACTGGCCTCTACTCGAAAACAACAGACATTTCTTCCAGTTCTGGTATCTGATAAACTGGCTCCTTCAGCTAGGAAGAACCAGATGGTTTCAGATCCTAGGCAGTTACAACAAGTAGCTAGCCATCTGAGTAGGTTGAGCTCAAAAATAAACTCAGCGACAATGAATCTGTTAGACACGATCAGGACCAAAAGCCACTGGAAGAGCTGGGGACCCTGAGAGTTGACTGGTGGGAGAGACACAAGTATTCAAATCACACTGAAGACAGATAGAAGGTCTCCAGAGCACATCCCAGTGGTCTACAAAAATCTGCAAGTCCGCATTCTCTTCTTCTTTGTCTCTTCCAACACCAATCCCACCCTACAAGGACTTCAAGTCACACTCCAGACAAATTGTTACTATAAAATTGAATAAGCCTGGGTGAGGTGGTGCCCATCACAAAGGTGGAAACAGTCCCTGAGGAAGCTTCATATAGCAAGGAAGGCAAGTATGCTGGGATTGCCCCCATCATTGCATGAAGCAACTCCTCACAAGTAGGTCTACCACATGATAAATGAGACACTGAACCAAAACGTTCAACCTTCGCGCATCCACTATGGTCTCCTTACTCCCACGTGTGTTCACTTTTGTATAAGGGAGAGCAACTATATCATTAACAAAAAGAAAATCTCCCTATTCCAATAGACACAGCAACACAATTCATCACTCTACCCCCCCACCTACCCACCCACCCATCCACCCATCCATCTATCCACCCACCCATTCACCCATCCATCCACCCACCCATCCATTCTATTCACCTACCCATCCATCCACCTATCCACCCATCCATCCATCCATCCATCC